CTCTCTCTCTCTCTCTCTCTGTCTCTCTGTCCACTTCCCCATTCTCTCTGGGCAGCCAGTGCTGTCGATATCTGCCCGTCTCTATAGTCAGAGTATGAGTACCTCGTCATCTGTCTTCTTCATTTACAGTCTTGCACTGTACTCAGATATTCCGCAGTTGTGTATCTCTATTTAGGGCCAAATAACATTCAAGTTTACTCTGTGTTTCTGTTGTTTCAGTCCAATAGGTTAGATAATTTTCTTTTTGTGCTTTTATAATTTGGTTTTTATAGTTCGTTTATAATTTTGGAGTCCTGATGCTGGATGTTGTTAGTCATGTTAGTCTGTTTTTGCAGCTTCAGGACCGTCTGAATCAGGGGACTTTTTTCAGGGTTCACTTCATGGTTTTTAAGGGCTTTAAAATGGTAAGAGTTGGGATCACTAATTTTTAGGTGTTTCCAAAATTTGATGGCTCTTTTCTCAATGCGCATTAGTAGAGGGTATTGGCCTAATTCTACCCTGCAGGCGTTGTTCGGTGTGCTCCTCTGTACTCTGAGGAGACTCTTACAGAAGTACTCATGCAGGGCTTCAATCGGATTTTTGTCCCATTTTTCGAATTCGTGATTTTAGGAGAGGACCCCACACTTCATTTCATTTCTCTCTCTCTCTCGGTCTCTCTGTCTCTCTCTCTCTCTCTCTCTATCTATCTCTCTCTCTCTATAGGTTGTGTAGTGCTCGTTCGCTCTGGTATCGTCAGGTCATGTGACGTCTTCCTCCCCCTCTCAGCCTACTCCGTCTGGTGGGACCGACTCTGACTCATATCTCCCTCCTCTGCTGTTCTTTCAATCCATCCCTCCTTCCCTTCTCTCATTATTGGTTTCCTCACTCGCTCTGTCCTTCAGTCTGTGCTGTCGCTCGCCGCACGATCTGTTAAAGCAGGGAATCCTTCGGTGACGCATTTTCCCTGCAGTTCAGCGCGTTACAGCGATCTGACCATCAATGAGCATTCTCACACGCACACACACACACACACACGCACGCACACACAGAGCATCTGCCCACACACACAGGCAGTGTTATAAAACCACAGCACAGCATCACAAGAAGTCCCTCGCTCTCTATTCTCGCTCTCATTCTGGCATTTTCTCATTTTCTCTCTCTTTGAGTCTGTTTTGAGTGAATCTCATGAAAACATGCCCTGCTCACATTTCATCTGCATTTACATTTGTGCATTTAGCAGATTTGATCCAAAGCAGAACAAAAGCAATTTGTCAAAGAGCCAACAATATTCATTATATACCATTGCAGGCTTATTACACAACTAGAATCTATAAGAAATGATGTTATGCATTAGGAAAATTAATCGTTTTATGTGACCATTGAGATGTTTTTATAGCATGACATTATTTTGCATATTTTTCTCTTTCATATTGGTCTTAAAATAGGCTTTATTTTCATACAATATGCAATTTCTTTCATTTTCACTTTGGGCTGAAATGTGGAATTCACACATCAAAGATGCATTTTTGACATTTTAAGATTTTTGTTAAAACATTTTGACCTTTTTTATGTTTCACACTGCATTTCTCAAATAAATCAGTTGTCTTCATGTTAAACAGTGATGGGCTTTTCTCACAACGGACTGAGTTTTTTTCTGTTTTTAGCTTGATTTGTCAGTGGTGTTTTAATCTGGCTTTCATATATGTATATTTTTCTCCTTGGTTAGTATTTTAAATGGCTTGCATTAAGCAACTAAAACCCAAAAACAATATTTTAAGAACAAAATCATGATGCATCTTCGCTGCCATGCAGATGCCATAAAAAAATAAATGAATAAATAAATATATTTTTATTGTAATTTATTTATTTTATGCATTTATATATTTTTAATTGTGTTTATGATAAAAAAAAATAATGCAAAATTCTAATTCAATGGCCTTTAAAATTTCCCACCCACCATTGACAGTGTTATTTTTGGCGTTTAATTGGGTGAATATAAAGGAAAATATTATAATTTTTCCATGTGTTCACATTGTAAACTGTATGTAAAACATGGCCTAATTATTTTACTATATTTGATGCTTTTGTTACTTCTTAAATATATTATTATTGTTTTGAACTATTTTCTTGGATATATGCTTGTACCGCAGCGAACGAACACGCTGAGGTAATTTGACACAATGGAGTGTGTTGTCATCAAAGCGGTCTGGTGTGTATGTGTGTGTGTGTGTGTGTGTGTGTGTGTGTGTGTGTATGTGTGTGTGTGTGTGGCAGCACATGTGTGCACAGCTGCTCAGGTGTGTTGTATAATATGCCAGTGTATGACAGATTTGACTTTATTTTTATCCGGCACCATTAAGGTGGTCCGGCTGAGCGATGTGCTCCACTTTACACCTTGAAGACATTAGTGTTTGCCTTATATTCATGTTTAAATCTCTCTCTAGCACAAGCAGCTGAGGCTGACGTCTTCGTCTCCTTGGCAACCGAGAGAGAGAGAGAGAGAACGAGCGACGGCTCATTCATGAACGCTCTTCTCCCTCATTCAGAGCTCTTCATCTGCTTCAGTTGATTCTTAAGGATGGCCTCGTCTCTGCAGTGCCCTGTGTGTGTGTGTGTGTGTGTGTGTGTGTGAGAATGATTGGTCGGCGGTGTCATGTGCTGCTGGTGACGTGGTTTCTGCAGTCGGGAATCCCAGCTATCTGAGCGCGCTCAGTCGCTCTCTCCACCCGTCTGCTTCAGTCTCTCTGCAGTATGACGTCAGCGCTGGAGTTTCCTCCGCTCTCTCACCTCAGTCACTCCGCTGCTGCATTATGCGCTTCGACTTGTGCTTTAAAAGCATTTCCTGTGTGTGTGTGTGTGTGTGTGTGTGTGTGTGTGTGTGTGTGTGTGTGTGTGAGAGAGAGAGTGTGTGAGTGTGTGAGTGA